CTCCTCTCACCTTAGGTTATTCTTAAGCCTGGAAAAGAAAAAATACCCTTCTTCTCCCCAAAAGAAACAGAAGAAAGGAATTCAATGCAACTCTGAAAACAACTCACTGTGGACAACTTCTCTGAAGCTGCGAATCTTTCAGGATGATTTAAACAAAAACAGGATCATAATTTAGTAATTTCAATTCCTTAAGATCAGAATAAGCCTGCTGGGGTTAGAGGGACTTTTGCATAAAGCCAACAACTACCACCATGTTTTGAGTTTCTACAGGACACGGAGAATGAAGCTGTAGCTTTCACTGCTTTGTGTCCTAGAAAAATACATTACTGCAGTCAATGCACCCAAGCAGCGAGAAATAAAACCACGCCTAGAAGCTATCACTTTTTTACAAAGCTTAGGGATGTCTTGAAGGGTTTGTATGTGACTGATACTGCTATCCATTTTTCCGTCTCCTGCATAAAGTACCAACGCATGGGCACCCTCCTAGGCCCAGGCCACCAGGACAGCCCCGCCAGGACATGGGGCCAGGCAATAAGAGAGACAAACATCTAATCATGTTAAGGGCAAATTTCCTCAATCTGTTTGCTGTGGTATCAAAGCGGATGCTAAAACAACTAATTGTATGTTCCAATAACCAACTCCCAGCTACCCCCACCCCTGATCACCCCACGTTTCTGTGGTTTCAGGGAAAAAAAGGATGAATCATGAGAGGCCAAAATGCAAATCATGCCCCAATGATCTCTGAAGGGCTGCCTGCCCAAGGCACCCCCGCCCTGCCTTTCTGGCTGCCCGAGCCTGCCCAGATTTCAGCGGCGGCGTTGCCGGGGAGATCTGCCCCCTCGTCTGAAAACACCCTCATTACTTCATTGGGAAGACAGCACCCGGCAGGATTTGTTAATGAAAAAAAAAAAAACAAACCTTTCAGCCAGCTGGCCAATTCTAGTAATAACATCAATTCAGATTTTTTTTTTTTCTTCCCCCAAACGGCAGCAGAATATTTAAGGAAACACAAAAGCTGTTTTCTTGGCAGGAGCCCAACCTTACTGCAGGCCAGGGACAGCGGCCGGCACCCAGGCCGGCAGCTGCAGATCACCAGAGGGGTGCGGGGAGGGGAGCCGGATCCCTCCTCCACCCGCCTCGCGCGAGCAGCCGATTTTGGCCCTTTTTTACCACTGCTCCCCGGACACCTCCATTTTATGTATCCCTCCCCGCCCCTCAGGAGGTTGTTTTGCTGCTGGAAGGTGCCAAATTGCGTTTGGCAACTTCCAGTTGCGATGCCGAGTGCCAAAGCCGCTGGAAACCTGCTGGAGAACAGCAGAGGCAGAATTTAGCTAGTTAATTAATAGCACAGACTGTCCCCAAGGTAGTCTTTTATTTTTATTTAGCTTGCAAGCACCTCTGAGATCAAAGCCAGACCGCAGCTCCAGTTTAATTATTTTTCTGTGAAATGAGAAGGGTTTTGGTCCCCCCCTCCAGACCATTCCACATGTAATTTAACAACACTTGCCGTTGAAACCTTGTGCACAGAAGAAAGGTGAGCAAAACCCACTTACATTAGCTGAGGGTAATTTACATACTGTAAACTTGACAATTATTCCTTTTAGCAAGGATGTGTTTTTTCTTCCCTCTGATCTGCGCGGTACAAAACATCTCAAATATAAACAGATTAAAAAAAAACCAAATAGCTTTTTGCCTCCTACATCAAGCGTTTGATACTACTCCTGGCAATTCTCAGGATCCTGCTTTCACAGCAGACTAACAGATTTTTTTTCAGTACGGCTTCCTTCATTTCAAAAGGGTTGACGTTTTTTGGTAAAGGACTCCTTAGACTAAAAAAAAAAATATATATATATATATCTGCTATCTTAAAAGTCCCCATTTTATCCTTTCTAGGTATTCAGAAAGAAGCTGGACTGGGTTAAAGTCGTAACACTACAGGCTTCCCTGAGCCCCAAGATCCCACTATTTAAGTTTGACTCCACAACCGAGAGGGTGAAAACACAGGCTTCACAGTTCCAGGAAACCACACTACTTTGAGGACTTTGCCATGAGCAGAAATATCAAATATGAGCAGAAATATCAAAAAAACCTGTGCCTGTGCCATGCCACATGAACAGAGGAGGGTCCTTCAGCACCGGGCATCTGCTCCCCCCTGTGCAAAGCTGCAGTGAAGCACCAAGTACCCCCTTTGGTATGAGCTATTAAGAAATAGCACGTAGTATTAAGTATTATTCCCAGAACTCCAATGATGCATAACAGTAAAGCTGTTGCTGCTCGAAACATAATATTTTGGCAAAACAGGGTAGCGTATAAATTGAAGTTAAACAACAACAGATGTGTTAATTTTAGCCCAAGTTGTATAACAGCAGCAAAAACGAGCATATGCCTACAGCTGTGGGATGAGTTCACTAAAGAAATTCGAAGAGTACATCCAAAACCAGAAAATTGGGTGTGTTTTTTGGGTGGGTTTTTGTTGTTGTTGTTGTTTTTTTAAATTACACAGTGTCACTTGTAAATTGTCTGATACCCTTTTACAGTGAAAGGGCCTGGGAAATGGTAAACCACAGCCTTGTGGGGCAAACGCAACAGTGGTGTGATCTGACAGATGCCAGTGCAGAACTACTGAAGGTATTCTTTTTCCTCTAGGGAGAAAGTTGAGGGACAACTCAGGCCAAGCAGAAAGTCAGCCAAGAAGTCCTCCAGCAGAGACGGTGCCTCAGGGGAGCCAGCCTGGCGACTCGCTGCCCTCACCCCACCCAACAGCTCAGCTCCCAACCAGGCGACCTCCAGCTCCACTTCTCCTCCAGAAAGCACTGACGCAGAAGTGTCCGGGGAGCCTGGGTCACTAGTAGGATCAAGGCTTGGAGGTGGCAAGGACAGAAGCAGGGGGTTGATATCCAGGCTCTTTGCCCGTTGCTCTTAGAGGAGCCTCCGGAGACAGCTTGGTAGCGTGTACATGGAGCTCAGAGACCATGGCAGAGGAGTGTTTGGGTTTTACCCAGTCCAAACCTTGCCACCCTGAGCAGGCTCGGGAACCAGTGTTGGAAGAGAAGATGACAGCCCCTGCTGGGACAGGACAGTTTTCACCATGGATACAGCATTTGCTTTTTATGTTCCAAAACAAGCTACATTATTTTTGTTCACACTTAATCTTTACACCAGCACACAGGCTTTCCTCCTGCCCCCGATGAGGAAGGCATCCTATTTAAAGTGGGCTCTGCATTCTCAACTCTTCCAGATCTCCTGCTTATTTAAAGCAGAGCCTATTTTCAAGCCCAGCTTCCCTTCCGAGACCTGGAGGAGCAGTGCAAGGTCATGCTTCCATGAGGCCTGGTAAACATCCCCGGGCTCTGCCCAGCTACAGCAACGACACAAAACCTTCCTCTGCAGAAGAGCCAAGACTCATCTCTCATTAGCCGCATAAGCGCACAAGTGACATGCCATCTGAAGCAGGAGTAGTTCACCACCCTTGGGAGGTGACCAAGAAGTCACAATCAGCACAGTAGTCTGCAAAAGGCAACTCCAGAGACAAAGTCTGTCCTCCCAAGCAAGGTCTTAGGCGCTGCAGGCACGCTTAGCCCCTGCCACAAGGTAAAAGTACCTCCTCCTCTTCCGCCTGAGGCCTTTTTCACTCTTCAAAGTCCTCAGTCTTCCCACCTGCATCCTCTCAGCAGCCCTCCCCCGCACAGAGGTTGATATTTCAGGGGTCAGTCTCAGACAGGCACACACAGGATGCTCAAGGTGGCCCAGTGTGTCACTGTCCTTAAAGCCACTTTTGCAGCTGGACAGTTATTTTCATAACCAAGGCAGAAAGAGGTAACATGTCTCGGGAAACCTAGACTTCTGAACCCAGTGTGCCATAAGGACTGCAAAATGCCTTGTCTGAGCCAGGTGCTTGGCATTGCCAGTTCATGGCACAGAGAGAGCCCAGAAACCACCGTGAGCCTCCCGATGGAGAAGCTATGGCTGCCACAAGGAGCTCATCTCATCTGCCAGGTCGCAGGCTCCTCCCTGAGAAAAGTTATCTTTTGCTCTTGGAAAAGGGTCAGCTTATTTCAGGAGCTATCCTCCCCATAAAACACGTACAGGGCACAAACATGGTAGGGTCAGAGGGAGAAATACCGCACCATGATTTCTGTAGCA